GCAGCTGTAAAAGCACTTAACCTGAGCAGGATTCAAGCGCAAGTTCAATATTCACCTTTGTACGCTGTGATTTTTGTCATTGGTATGCGAAACGTGGAGCCATCGTCATTAGACCGCATTAATCGACATGAGTACCAATCGCTGTTGAGACAGTCGCTTTCGTGCCGATTCTAAACGATGCAAACGTCTAAAATCGCCGTCAACAGCTAGTCGTTGTACTGTAAATTTTAAAGCACTTTTGCGGTAGAAGGAACGGTTCCTTTCAGTTGTACATGAAAATCTGTTTTGTACCATCCACGTGCACGTCGATCTCATGGCCAAGTCGACGATGTTCTAATGGTTTCCATTTGGGAAGTTGGGAGACCTGCTCTCCAGATCTACAAAAAACATTTGTGCCCGGGAAACCAGCTGATCATTCCCTAGATACCCTACCCTCTAAACCTCTTATGCGTTAAAGTCAGTGTTTAAGCATCTATTTGTTGTGAAAAAGCAGTGATATGTCCGACGCCCATTCTTACTGATCGACCATGGGGGAGCTAGTCGAATCGGTTGAAAAATTGACTTCATAGTCTGTCCGATCGTTTAAAAATTTTGGGCTGAAAAATGCAGCAAGGTTTCCAGAGTACAGAATTCGGTTTTTTCGAATGATTATTGTTTTCTGTCGTTTTTTGTCCATAGTCATCTTGGCCGTGCACCATGGACTGCAGGGTTTCATGTTGTGTTGTTTGGCCGCAAAGCAAGCGACATCGTATGATTTTAGGTGAATTATTGTAGTTCAGTGTAATAAAAAATGGCGTAAAACGGTTTACTCATACACAGCGCAAAAGATACTGGGGTCAGTGCGGTGACTGACCAATACCAACGTTTCGGCCCGTGTCTCACGGACCTTCTTCAAAGTAGATTGGCTTTGAAGTTTCGTGAATGTGGTTAGTCGTCCGCAGCAGTCAATAGTTTCGGAGTCAGAAAGCCTGTATTAGTGTATAAGTAAAACATATTTTATGATATTTCTTCAGTACAATGCACAAACGAATTACTCTGTCTTTGGATACAGCGTAAAATAGTGCAGTACAATATAAAGTAGAATTGTAACGTGTTAGCACCGTTGGCGGTTGGGGAGGGGCACAATTGCATAGAGGTCGACTTTGAACTTCAGAGATGCCTTTTTCGAATCTTCAAAAAAGACAATATTTGCCTTAACCGCTAATTCCACTGAGCTAGGAATTCACTTCACGTTGATTCGATGGACCAGCCGAGGAACAGGTAACAAGTTGCTAGCTGAATGACGAACGACAATGGCAGCATGGGCTTCTGCTGTGGTCAAACTAGGATGGGCGAAAGGCGCTGGTAGGGCTGACAGTGGCTTTGCAAATTTCGTGTAAACTGCCCCCCCCCAGTTTAGAATTTGCCTCTTCTAGCTTTTGACGAAGTGACATCTAACCGGAAGGCAGCTGTAATTTTTGCGATATTTTTTCTTCAGCAAAATCGGGGGGACTGCCGGTGGGCATTATGACTTTCTTCTGATAATCTAATTTGTTCAGCTGGAACCTGGCCATGCCATGATAGTCTCATCGCTGCCTGTTCGCGAGTGCTTCTTTTTTACAGCTGGCTTCGATACCTGGAGATCGTTGCCCTATCCGCAACCAGGGGCGCACCAGATTGCCAGCATCTGGGCACACAAGAACGATTTAAAATCATTTATTCACCGGTGCGTCATCATTATAATTATAATTACCTTTTTAATACGCATTATTAAAGAAATTAATGAATTTTACAAACAGCAGCCTCGCTATTCTTTCGGCAGCCAAAGGTCATGCGCCGTCTTTCGATCGTTGCCGCTGAGCTTGCTTTACCACATTGATTCAGAGCCGTAGAACCATCGAGGAAATTTCGTCAAGATCCATAATGGTTCATGTTGCCAAGGTTTATCGTTTTTCTCCATTATGTGAGTGTGGTTCTGCGTCTCGGGATCTATGAAATTATGTGTAATTGATATGAACCATAGATTTGTAATTCCTTGATTAGTGTTGATTCGTTTGCGAGGAAGAATGCACTTTTCCCTCCTTCGCGTTAGTATTCGAACTATATTTGTTTATTTTCCATGACATTCATCATTTTCATGTGAATTCGATGTATGACAATCAAAATTTCAGTTTAGAAGTGCGCTTATTTATATATGGTAACGTAATGCGTTTACAGTAATAAATATAGTGATAAAGATATAGAACGTTGTTCTACACTAGAAAATTATCACCATTTGAAGGACTCTTGAAAAAAATATAGTGTCATTACCAGAATCAAACTGCTTTCAAAGAATTAACGGGATTTTAACATGGCCCTTAGTTTTCTGCTTGCCTTGGCCATAAATGGAAAAATAACTGGAGTAGATCACCTATAGTAATTATGATCATGTGATTTATATTTAGGAGTTCAACTCGTTTTACTTCGATTTAATGATAGGTGAGCCAGTAGTCGAAGGTATTCCGTCTTTCGGGTAAAATTC